GACCAATCTGCAGTCCCTATAACATCATATAAAAAAATTTATTGAAAAAGAACATGATAACTGAATGTTGCATTTTAAATAAAATATAAAGAATTTATGATTTAAAACAATGAAAAATATAAAAAAACAACATACTTGTTGTTGATGAATACAATCCATATTAACATTAGCATTGCCCTCAGAACAATCTTCATGGGCCTTGGTAATAGACACAACAGCACCATCAATAACCTTTGGGACATTTTTTTTGTCAGATAATAGTTTCAAATGTGGAGGAGTCATTTGTAAATCCGCAGTTATGGCATCAAAATTTGGAGTAGACGTGTCATAATCATTGTCATGAAGATTGGGTGGGTAAGTAAGATTCCACCCCAATTTACGTGGGATAATCTGTTTGGAAACATTGATCTTGGCCTACATAATAATACAATTTTAAAAATATATATATATATATATTATGAAAAAAAAATAATACAATTACTTTAAAAAAGCGATCTTGATAACCTTATATCCGATTGATGAATTTCGTTTACGAATACTCTCATCTGCCAACTTCTGGCATTCATCAAAGATCTCAGGCGTAATTTCAAAGTCTTCCAATGATTGATCTCCATTAAAAATTGGAGAACAACATTTAGGATCGGCAGACTTATTCAAGTGAAAATCATTACCCTATAAAAAAAATATACATACAAATGGATACAACAGAAACAATGCCCTTCAGAAAAGTAAATTAAATAATTAAAAGAAAAATTAAATGAAAAAAAAAAACTAACCAACAAAAGTGGAACAAACTCAGCATTACTTTCAGTGGTATCCTAATAAGAAATACTTTGAAAATTAACAAGGTAAATGAATAGTTATTTTTAAAATAATGAAGACTAAAAGTAATATGTAAATGAATTAAAAAAAACATAAAACCAACCAAAAAATAACTGACCTTGTGAACTAAATCAACATCATCAGCAGGTAAATCCCTAAAGCGAACTTTTTTTTTTTTTGAATACCTTTTACTTTCTGATATATATTATAATTTTTAATGAAAAAAAAAATTAGTATGTAATGAAAAGATTAACATCTTAAATAAGAAAGAACATATTAATAATAATAACTGATTAACTTGCCTTATCAACATTTGGCTCTTCGTCCACATTAGTTTCAGTCATTTGAACATCAGCCAAACCTTGAACCTATTGTTGGTAGATTCAAAATGGCAAAACAAAAAATGATAAACAGTACATCATAAGCAGGAAAATTCGTAAAAGCAAATTTTTTTTTTTTTTTAAAAAATATGTCATACATTAGGATATATAATGTAAATAATTTGAATGATAGTAAATCGTAAGTAAAGAAAAGATTAACATTTTTAATGAAAAGAAACATAAGATTTATAATAATTGAATAACTCACCTTAAGAACATTTGCATCTTCCAAAACATTTTTTACAGAGTTTGTAACATCATCAGAACCATGAACCTATTAATCAAAGAATAAAATTATATAACTATTATTAAGTAAAAAACATTGTAAAAGAAAACATAAGAATAAGATTAATTGAATGAATAACCTTTTCTACATTTTGCTTTTCAACCAAATTATTTTCAGAAGTTAGAACATCAGCAGATCCTTGTCCCTAATGTTGTGAAAAATAAAATTTGGAAAAAATAAAGAAGATTAATCAATTATTATTAAATATTTATATACTTAATAGGAAAAAAAATATTTAACTTGCCTTATAGACATTAACTAATTGATCAACATTGAACAAAAATATTTAAAAATATCTCAAACCTAAAAATTAATATAATCACTAACATTAAAATCAGTAAGATGAATGATATCTTAAAAATAAGGTGTAAACTAAAAAAATAACAGGAAAAAAACCCAAAAGCAACATAAATTAAACAAACCTTATCATTGAAAACAACATCCTCCTCATCAGAATCTTGAACATCAACTTCAGCAGATTGAGAAACAATTACTTTAACAGGATTTGAAGCAACAAGGTTATCCTGATCACCAATCTGAATAAAAATAAATTTTCTTTAGAAAGATTGTAATGTGACTTATTAATCAACACACATGAAGAACGATTGTACAACAATGAAAAAGAAGTTCTAATAGAAATCAATACACTATATAACGTGCCTTACAACCATCATCACAGTCAGGGATAGGAATTTGAGTAACATTTTCCTGTGCACCACTTTGAAACATATCAGTGTGGAACTCCTTGAAATGATCATCATTAACATTCACATTATTATCCATCATGCCACGCAATTCCTTTAAGACAAAAAAGAAAACAAAAGTATAAGATATAATAAATAAAACGACTAGTAAAAATAAATAAAAATTTTACCTTCAACGTAGAGTGAACAACTTTGAACTCTTCAAACACTTTTGCAGAGAAATTGTGAAATAAAAGCTTTAGGCTATTGCAATCAGCTTGTAATTGCAACTGACCAGACACAAGATTACGTATTTGTTCATCAAAGTTGTTCGAAGTCGATGTTGCAAAACTAGCATTATGCCTCAGATCTCCATGACGAATGAATTCATTGTTTTTATTAAAAAACTTATCCAGATGCAGCCTTTCGATCTCTTCCACAGTTGGAACAATATTTGAGAACTAAGTTTAAAAACACAAGCAGCAATCAAAAAAAAAAATACGGAAACTAAGTTATCAAAAACATGAAAGAAAATATGATAAAAAAATATATAAAAACCTGATCATGGTGAAGGGAGAAGAACTTTCTAACAAGAAATCCTCGGTCAAAAGAATTATTACACTTCCATTTCAACATCCGAGGAATCGTAGAAATCAAGGAATCATCTTTCAAACAAATGAGTCCCGAAGCATTGTTACAAATTTCATAAAACCACCATTGAAGCACAACAATAAGACCCCGACACTTATTGTAAACAGAAGTCTTAGTTTAAGAAATCTTCCCGACTATATGCGAAATAAAGTATTCAAATATCTCTTTACCCCAAGGATAGTCATTACAATCTTCACTATCAATTATAGCAACATAGTTAAGATCAAACCCAACAGTCGGTTCATTGCCCATGAGATAATTGGCAAGAAAATGAAGGATAGCAAGTTTCACAGCATCACTATCATTAGACCAACAACGTGATAGAAACTTCAGACGTATGGCTTCACGGGTAAAACGACCACCAGATGCCGAAAACTTATTGAACAAACCATCTTGAGGACACTGATATAGCAATTTACTAGCATCTCCAACACACTTTAAACCAGTAAGAACAGAAAACTCCCCAATACCAAACCGCATTATCTTCCCACACATATCAACCCATAATTCCTCTGAATTTTTTTGGAAAACTTGTCTAAGAAGCACCAAATGCACGAGTTGAGACTGAACAACACCAAAAGGCAATTCAAAAAATTTCTCAAAACAAGATTTTTTCAGAAGTTCAAGTTGAGTTGCAGACAACATGTTCCTAATTGTTTCAATGGTTTCATAACGATTAAAATTAGGAAGCCTACATCCAATATTAAATGAATCTTTTACTAATAGGTCCCAGTCCTGTAAAAAAAATTAGGAAAAAAAAATTAGATAAAAGATGAGGAAATATATTAAACAAAGTAAAAAAAAAAATTACCTTCAATTGACTCCGAGGAACGAGATTTTCAGATAAAAAAGAACGCTTAGTAGCATAAGATTTTTTCGGTTTCATATGTTTCTTCTTCCCTTCTTTCTGCACACGAGAAACCCTATAAATCTTTCTCAATTTTTTAGGGTTTTTAATTCCTTTAATAGAAGAATCGTCTTCTCCATCGGACACGAAATTGTCGGAATCATAAAAATCCTCGCTCGAAACCGAATCAGAAACATAATCAGAAGACGATGTTGCTTCAACTTTTTTTCTTTTTCCTTGCATTATCTTTCTCGGATAAGCAGAAACACAGACAGAGCTTTTGATAAATTTTTTTTTTTCTTAGTCTCAACCACAAGTTTGGAACATTTTTTTCTGCAGATCTAGTTAAAACCATAGAAAAAGTAAGAGAAATTAAGAAAAAAACGACGCAAAAAATCTGGAAAAAGTATTGAGTAAAATGAAGAAGATGTAAAGTTTAAATGGACGGTTTTGTAAAACTGACAGATTGAAAGACGTGCCTTTTAATTATTATTAAATTTAAAAAAAAAAAACCGTCCAATAGATTAACAACAGTTTGAATTTTCGTTTTTTAAAATTTTGAAATAGGAGTATATTTGAAATTGAATTGGAGTAATTGTGTTTAAATAGTAAACAAGTTCTTTTTTGTAAACTATGAAAGATAGAGTCAAGGGGCGTCAATATTTCATATTTTGCCATAAAAATTTTGTGCTACATAGGCGAACAAAGTTAATAACAAATAAATTTAATTTTCAAGAATGATATTTTATGTATTTAAGATTATAATATAAAAAAGATAAATTTTACCTGATAAACATTGGTCAACTATCAAATTATGCATAAATAATGGATTGTTAAAAAATTATAGCACTCAAGTACACATAAGTAGTTTGTATACAAATATATATTTAAAATCTTAGGCACTTATAATAGTCTATAACTTATAAATAGTAAAATTCATCTATTAAATAAGTAAGACCTCCAAAAATTCATTGATTTAAAAAGGAAAAGAAACAGAAAACAATAAAAATATTTAAATAATTTTTTTTTAATAAGGTATTTGAAAACACCGGACCCCTAAAATGCAACCTGCAAACCCCACACTTTGAAATATTTTGTTCAATAATAATAATAATAATAATAATAATAATAATAATAATAATAATAATAATAATAATAATAAATCAACAGGAACAAAAAACATAAATGCAAATACAAAGAAAAAAACAACCAGAAACGAACACAATCACAACATTCAGCTCATATGCCAATAGACAGAACCACTGTATGAATAAGTCAAAACAGGCGATACAAATCCAATTACACAGATATATATATATATATAGCCATAATCAGAGACACTTTCCATCGGGAAGCATCATGAGAACAAAAGGAGCTGCAAAATCCCAACAGGGTTCAACATGAGAGCCCCTAATCAGCCTTCCCGGTGCCCAAAATTTATTCACAAAACACCTATATGCAACAATAGCACACATTAAGAAAAAAAAGATAAACGGCTTGATAAAGGCAGTATACCCTGTGCAACGACAGGACTCTCAATTAGCACGTTCTCTGATGACGTCAAGGTCCATCTCGGTTGGGTCAGTTGCTTGGATCTCGTAGTGTATGCCCACAAGCTCTCGCCTAAACATTCCCTTGGATGTGGCGTAAAGCATCTTTGAACGAATTCGAGAGATGCATGGGGACCTGAAAAGGGCATGCACCAAAAAAAAATCATGCACGTTTACTTTCTATCAGTACAATACATGCAGTGACAATGGAAGATGAAAATTCATGATGATAGTATTTCAATTTTCACATAATCTATTGATATATGTGGAATTGTCTAACCTAGAGAGTGGTTGTGAAAAAAGACCTGTTTTCGAAGGATAATTTATCATAAAAGAAGCTGTACATGGTTGGTAATTAGAAGTTGTAGTTTTAGCAAATAAATGTTAATAAATGTCAACCTAGAAGAAAAATCATAAACGTCAAGCTAAAAACGAAATCCATAACCATAAAGAAGTCCTATCCTACTTCGAAATTCTTATTTAAATTTGAACAAAATCAAAACTATAAAGATGCTTGGATATAAGATTTCTTTTATTTGAATTTTTTGGTTAACCAGAATTGATTTTGAAAAGTATGGTATGATTAGTTAGTGACATTTTGAGTTTATATTAAAATAATATTAAAAAGTTAAAGTTAATTTCATGTAAAAGTATGAGAGATGATGTGAACTTGTTAGTTAAATTATGTGAGTGCATGAATAGTGAATTAAAGTTGATGTGACATGTAAGAATAACAGATTGATATTATTTAATTAAATTGATAATATTAAGAATAGTGAGGTCCAATTAAAGTCGAGTTAAAAAAATTGGTTTGGTTAAAAGTGTTTGGATTTTGTCTAGATTACTTGTATCAAAGCAAGCACATAGTTGACAGTAAAGAACACTACAACCAAACACTATGCTTGTGTGTGTGTGTGTATGTGTGTGTGAGAGAGAGAGAGTGAGAGAGACCACGCGATGAAGAAAATCTTGCTCTTTTGGCAGTTCTCAGAGGTCACATAGTCAAAGTCGTAAACTGCATAACGGCAGTCACTCTCAGGCAGGGATGCCATAAAGTCCTCATAACTCTCGGCGGGCCCACCCGTCTTCTCAACCACGACTTCCTTTTTCTTCTCGTCAATCTTGAATATCACATAGCGGTGTACCTTCTTCCGCTGCAACTCCATGTATGTGCTCTTGCTGTGGTCAGCAACACCCATGCCCGATGATGCATTTGTCTGCAATCATCAAATAGGGTCAATCACTTGACTCGAGATAAGACCATTTGCAATAAAACATAAATTTATAACAAAGCTAAGAGCTCACAGGCAGAAACACTCATTTTAGGCCAACAACACAGTCATAGTGATGCTAAACCAATAATAGGCAACCTAAAAAAAAAAAAAAAGGAAAACCTTAGAAGATAACCAACATCTCATGAACTTCCATATGGTTTGACTATGTGACTTGGAATCGCGTATTCTAACCGGTGCAAGGTGCATGCACAAGCGTGTTTTCTTTTTTTTTTTTTTT